TCCACATCCACCACGCGCATCTGTGGACCTACTGAAGACTCTCTACAAAAATTAGTCCAAACCCAGTGAGCAAAATTCACAGGATAAACAGCTTTATTTAACATTACTAAAAAATATAGGATATATTTCAGGAATACCAAAGTTCTCAAGAGGCTGCGTGTGAAGAACTTCCTAATGGAGATGCATTAAATAATAACCACACAGATTCTTCTCCTTAGTGTCCAATGATGCAAAGTTAAAGCTTCCCAACTTTCTCACCCCCAGCCCTATAGCTAAGCCATGTCACTGGTCTAGGTTAAACAGGAAAAGATGAATCTTAATGCGATTCCTGAACTGTAGAATTTGGGGAAGAGATGTGATGGATTTTATTCAGCTTTAATTGTGTACAATAAGCAGAATTAAGCTACAATGTATTAACCAACAGAACAGCTGCCAAGGGCCTATATGGAGTGACTGGATTGTCTGCTGGGAATTTGTTTCTGAGGGTGATTGCAGGCATTTTTGTTTAATATCTAAAGTGGCAGTTTCTATGTACCTGGCCTGCCGATTTGTGTAATCCCTAAGCCAGTTTTCAAGCTGTGAGATAAACATTTCTTTAACTATTGTGTATAAATTACACCTTATTGATATTTGATGCTTAACATCTCAAAGTCACACAAGTTAAGTCTGCATTAAGTGTGCACATGCTGTATATAATATACTTAAAGTCAATGAAAACAGTGACCCTCCCACCCCAGGTTCTTAATTACTGAGTTAATCTGCTTAATAGCCCTCTCCTTTGGAGCTGGGTCAAAGGAAAACACGAATCTGCCTCCGTCTGCCCGGCCACTGCTGCAGCTCACGGTCCGCAGACTGGAGCCCCGAGGGTGATGGTGACCTTGGTGGCAAGCACCCCTGGAGGAAAGAGTCTCACGGCCAGCAGGTGAGCTCAGGGCGTGCCTTCCTTCCCCACCCCCGCCGGAGTGAAGCCAGGGAACACAGACAGCACCTCAGACACACAGGGCACTCTCCGTGACAGAAAGAGCCCCCACTGGGAACCCCGGTGTAACCTGCACTGAGAGAGCACTGCACTGGGCAGGAGGAGAGCGTCCCCCATCAGCCTGAGGGCAGCAGACAGGAGCACGAGCCATGTGCTAAAAGGAGAGCACACGTGTCTTCAGAGGGAAAAGCGAGGACATCCCATCCTCACACAAGACTAGACCGGCTTACATTCCTCCAAATGAAAATAAAATTGTAAAAATTAAAAACGTAAGGGACAGGTGACAGAGAATGCACACGGCTAAAAGCAACTTATGGTGCTTGCAGATGGAACTGGCAAAGTCTCCCAGAACCCGGAACCTAAAGAGAATGAAACTGAATGGACCATTACAGTAGGTGAAGGACTGCACCAGCGTTTCTGAAACCGGAAGTTCCAGAGAGAAAGAATAGCTGTGTTGGAGGAGAGGAAATTATTTTTTAATTATCAAAGTAATTATCAAATTTTGACGACCCTGAGCTTGACTATAAGACTTTTTAGATTGAAATGGCTGGAGGAGAGATAAGAATACAAATAAAAACAACGTACCTAGACTCACTGATATAAATGTCAGAAAAACAAGTAAAAAGAAAAAAACTCCCTAAAACACCCAGAAAGTGAAAACTGGCATTTCCTAATAAGAAATGAGACGCGGGTGGACAGTGTCATCCCTCAGCAACACTGCATGCAAAGAGACCACGGGGCACTCTCCTCACAGAGGTCAGAAAAAGGAACCTGTAACCCAGAATTCTACACCCAAATTGCCATTTGACTGTGAAGGAAAGCGAAGGATTTCAGAAAGCCCCCCAATCTTGAATTCTCACTAAAAAATCATTAGAGGATGGTTAACTACAAAGGGATCCAAAAACTAGGCATGAGTATAAGAAACAGTGAGTGGTGAGCAAAGGAGAAAAAAAAAAGGAGACAGATTTAAATCAATGCTGATAATAAAAATGATTAATAGAGATGCAGAATGAAACTCGCAGTTGATTTCAACATTTGAAGTGATAGGGAAGCAGGAAAGACAAAATGAAAGTATGCTAAGGTCCCTGAAACCAACAGAGAGACAGACAGGGAGAGAAATTTCAGATGTGGAGAAAAGCACAAGTAAGTTTATATCTGAATTTACAGTGCCCAGATGTGCTGAAGTACAATGCACACCTTGAGGGAAAATGGAAAGTACTAGTAGCAACAAAGAGCACAAACCAACCAACGGCTAGGAGGGAGGAAATGAGGAATGATAAATGGAAAACATAAGTCAAGTCTGGAGGAATGCCCCCAAATACCATTACAGCAATCACAATAAGCATAAGCAGGTGAAAGTAGCCAATTAAATTTGGCAAATAGGCTAAATAAAGCCAGCTATATTTCATTTACCAGACCTATACTTAGAAACAAATGTCCCAGGGCAGTTGAATTAAGGAATCACGAAAGATAAACCACAGAAAGGCCAACAGAAAACAAACATTAGCAAAAACAGCTTCAGGAGAAACTGGGATACAAAGAGGATTGTTTTCTGTGGATGGAAGATGTGACCCCCCGGGGACCACTGGGGCAGCCCGGAGAGAGATGTGCTTGCCTGTCGCTTTTTACATCATGTCATTGTCGGGTTGGGTGTCTTTGTACATCAGTGAACAAAACAAACCCCCAGCCTTCATGAAGCTTCAACCTAGTGGAAGGCAGACAGACAGAAAACGGATGGGTAATTGAACTATACAGTGTGTCCGCTGGTGCCCAGTGCTGGAACAAGAAAACAGGGAAGGGTGACAGGAAGTGGTTTCAAATGGGGTCTCACTGGGAGGTCTCACTGAGAGGGGGAGACATGAGCAGAGACCTCAAGGAGCTGAGGAGACAACTGTGCGGATTCAGGAGGAAGAACTCGCAGAGGGCACAGCGAGAGCTGAGGGTGATGGGGGCTCGGGCTGGGAGAGGTGGTCCTCTTAGGAGGAGAAACAAACATTGGGAAACGGGAACTACAGTCCCTCCTGGGATGACTTTAGGAAGTTTCAAAATAAGACACCTGAGATCAACCCTTTGGAAAGGGACGTAACCTTGAAGATTATGTAAAAAGAGAGACTTTTAGGAAAGTGTGACATCCTGTCTAGGAGTGGTGAATTTAACCTAAAAATCTGGTATTGGGTTCCGACTATGAGTAAAACAACTTAGGCTCCTCAATTGCATTTCACCCATGGAGCGGAAAGAATATTAAAAGAGAAGGGCTTCCTGAACAGGTTTCGGGGTCTGAGGCACAGCGTGGGGATTATGACTAATAATCCTGTGCCATAGACTTGAATGCTGTCATGAGGGCAGATCTTAAATGTTCTTACCATAACATAACTTTGTGATGAGATGGAGAGCCATAGTTACTACTATGGTGATAATCATTTTGCAACTTATAACCATTTCAGATCAACATGTCGTACACCTTCAATGTATACAATGTTACATGTCAGTTACAGCTCAGTGATAAAGTTTGGGGGAGAAGGGGAGGGCTTGGTTTGAAAAGGATTCATGCAACAGGAGTCTGAGAGAAAAATGAGGCCATGTGCTTCCAACAGTGATCCTGGGAAAGGGTTTACTAATCAGTGGACTTGAAAAGGGGTTATTTAGCAGCTAGCTTTCATTTTAATCGTAAAGATTGTTATATCGGGGGATGATTAGGACACTGAAATCATCCAGGTGATTTCAGGGTCAGAAAGCACCCTCGTTAAGTAGTAGCTTCCATGAAGGTTCCCTGTGGGAGGGGAGTATCAGCCCCATGGGGACTTTCTAACATACATGAGTAAAATGGCATTCTGGTTTACACAGTGTTCTCAGGTGGCGCTGTCCTTAGGGTGATCAAACTGAAACTATCTGGACGTCCTATATTATAAAAGCTTAGGTGGTGTTTCCGTGATTATGTCACAAGATGGCTGCCTCCACATTGCCACAAGATGGCTGCCCCCATGTCACCACAAGATGGCTGCTACAAAATGGCCACCACAAGATGGTCAGCAAGGGAGGGCAGTTGTGGGAGATCAGGCCAGCAGGGGAGGGCAGTTGGGAGTGAGATCAGGCCAGCAGGGGAGGACAGTTGGGGGTGACCAGGCAGGCAGACAGGCAGGTGAGCAGTTAGGAGCCAGCAGTTCTGGATAGTGAGAGGGATATCCGACTGCTGGTTTAGGCCGGATCCCACAGGAGGTCCCAGATTGGAGAGGGTACAGGCTAGGCTGAGGGATATCCCCTCCCGTGCATGAATTTCATGCACCAGGCTTCTAGTACAGAAATAAAAGGGTCTAGTATGGGGGGGGGGGGGGGGAGAAAGAAAGAAGGAAGGAAGAAGGAAGGAAGGAAGGAAGGAAGGAAGGAAGGAAGGAAGGAAGGAAGGAAGGAAGGAAGAAGAGAAGAAGAAGAAAGAAGAAGAAAGAAAAGAAAGAAGAAAGAAAGAAAGAAAGAAAGAAGAAAGAAAGAAGAAAGAAAGAAGAAAGAAAAGAAGAAAGAAAGAAAGAAAGAAAAAAGAAAAAGAGAGGGGGGTTGGGGGGGACTAAGGGCCAGGCTTTGAAATATAGCTATGACACTGAGGTGGTGCTGGGTCAGTCATTAGTAGGCTTCCCAGATGTCACCCACTCCGAGTCCCACATCCATCTAACCCCCGAAACATGGGGCTGAGGAAAGAGCTCAGACCTTAACACCGCCTGGGGCTCTGCACCACTAGCCATCGACCCGAACAGGGCCACTTAATCTCGCTGATCCTCATAGATTTATGTAGCTTTCAAAATGGGAGTAACAGAGCTATTCCGTCTATCACACCAGCTTGTGCTGAGGCTCAGATCCTAAATCTAAAACAAACAGCTCTACGAATAAAGGGTTTCAATGCGATCATCATTACGTACCCTGCAGCCTGCGTACATAACTAATATACCGAGGCACGTTACCACGATTATCTGATAACTGAAGGCAAGATGAAAAACCACCAACCCACTAAACAGAACACAGGAAATCCTACCTCTCAGCCACGGGCTTGGCAATGTTTTCAAAAATGGTTTCTTGGTTTGTATCTTGATCAAAAATCCTTTGAAATCTGCAAATGTGAAAACAGTAATTATTTTAAAGCTGGGCCGTCACACACTATTGGATTAATCTTTTTTTTCCTTTTTCTTTTTTTTCCTGACAGCTCTGTAAATGAGCCCATATTTACATCCTTTGGCTTACCTACCCAGCACAATGTTGGCCCTGTAGTCCCAGCCACACTGCGCTGTTGTCTCCCTGGACACAAATGGTGGGTACACAGTATTGCTTTGACAGGGTCTGCACAATAAGTCCCTCTGAAACCCCGCAGCGGCTTTGAACCAAATAACAAACTGTGTGTTTTTAGCTCTCAAGAGGGACAGTGTCTGCAACTGGCATCAAATGCACATCGCGATAAGTGCATGAAATGGAAACCCAAGACCAGGATGTAAACAGCCAGAGAACTTCTGATGTCTGACCTGTAAGGGAAGGAGGCAGCTGTGAAATGTAGGATGATTGAACTTGGTTTTAAAATGCTGTACTGAAGTGTACTTTGCATTCATTAGGTACTACATCCTAATTTTATTTCCAGGGAACTTTATTTCACTTTGTTGGTCATGAGTCAAAAGTCAAAAAGTGAATGAAGACAGACTGTCCTGCACAGAGACTTCCGTATGAGATTGGCAGGGCCGGGCATGGGGAGGTGGGACCGAGTCAAGTTCACACTTTGTGCATTGCCACTTACTTGGCTTAGTGCAGGGTCACACCCACTGAGGAATGCCCAGGGCAGGAAACACACAACCTATTCTTCTACAGTGTGCTGAGTTGCCACCAGCAAGAGAGAAGGAAGGTAATATATAAGGTAAAATGTTAACAATTGGTGGATCTCCCACATAGAATACAGGAAGAGTTAGTTGCATTATTTTTCAACCTCTTCAGCACATTGAAAAGTTTTCAAAATAAAAACTGTGGGGGTCAGAGGGATGCTTTAAACTTTAAAGTTTAAAGCAACACCTTTAAAACAAACACATCGAGGGCATCCTACACAGCTTTCAGAGTGACTTGGGAACCTTCGGTCTATGTCTCTACCTAACCCAGTGGTAGGCAAACTGCAGCTCGCGAGCTACATGTGGCTCTGTGGCCCCTTGAGTGTGGCTCTTCTATAAAATACCCCGGCCTGGGCCAGTCTATTTTGAAGAAAGAAGTGGCGTTAGAAGAAGTTTAAGTTTAAAAAACTTGGCTTTCAAAAGAAATTTCAATGGTTGTACTGTTGATATTTGGTTCTGTTGACTAATGAGTTTGCCGACCACTGGCCTAACACAGGTGAATTGGGCACATCTTTGATTAATGTAGAGACCGCATGAAATGTAGGACTGTTGTCACTACTGAGCAGTTCAGAAGAATATTTGGAGTTGGGTTGAAAATATAAAATAAAATGGAACTCATTGTCTTCAATCCAAATTAATTTCAAAACATCCCTATAGCTCCGGGGTAGGGTGGGGAATGTCCAGCCTGCGGGCCATATAAGACCCAAGAAATCATTTGTAAGTTGAGAATTTTACACGGTCCGTGAGTCATACTATAAATATCTGTGACAAATACACTCGCCATTCCAAAATTAAATTTAAAAAGAAGAGAAAATGGACATGGAGACACAAACTACAGCAAAAACAAGGTGTTCAATGTCAGTCTTACAAGAGTGGGTGTCTGCTGGGCAGGCACGCCCCAAGTGGTTATAACCAGTATTTTATTCCCTGGTGTGCAGATCCCTCCCTGGTTCCTCATTGGCTGAGTCCTGTGGGGTGTACAATCTTCCCAGAATGGTCACTAAGTTTCATTATTTCCTTAGTGGGTATTCTTTCCTTCCCAGTTTTAAGTTCCCTTGTCCCTTGGCCCCTCCCCGGCATCCTGTTTGCCTGGGGACTCTCCAGGTGCATGAACTTGGTCACATCAGCAGGCCATTATGCAAGCAAACTACCAGAAATTTTCCATTCATGGTTAAATGCCTTGCCTCGAAAATGGACCTCCACTGACTTTATTTCTAACGATAGCCAAATGGTCCTTGGCAGAAAGAAGGCTCCCCACCCTGGAATAGCTTATGAACTGCCCATTTGAAGAAGTTAACAATGAAACTGTATACAAAGAGAGACTGCAGGGCACTCTGGCTGCTATGTCATTCAGCAGGCAAGATTATGTTCTAGACAACAACATTAACATGGGTGCACCAGGGCCCAGATACAAACACAGGGGACATGGCCTCTCTGTGCTGTTCAGGGCCCTGCTGGCTGTGACAATTGAACACAGACCAAGTGGTGCTTGTGAGGTTGATGATGACTGACTAAGTCAACAGCCCCACTGCCTTAAGTAACATGAATGACAACTACCACCAGTTAACCAAAGAGATGGCCAGGCTTTCAATAAACCATACAATAGCATTCAACATCAAATCATCATCCCAAAATATTTTATCTTATATCATTAGAGCTGCATAGTAATCTGAAAAGGCATTGTGATCATCTGTTCTCTGAAAATCTTTGAAGAGCAAAAAAGTTTACCAACTTGAGTGTAACCTTTTACACCGGAAGAGGCTGCTTTATCCTGGGACTTAAGGCCACTGACTCATGGCCCTGGAGCAAACCAGTAACTCACCTTGAGACATGACTGGGTTTCCTGGTTCCTAGGAGGCCCTTTCCTCCATGAGGAGGTTGTGGAGGCTTTACTGACCTCTCCCCACCCAGAAACGGCTCATCCTCGCCTTCCCAGACCAGGAAATGACAACTCCATCCTTCTAGCAGTTCAGCCCAAACCCTTAGGGCATCTTGGTTCCTCTCTTTCCACTGCACTCTATACCCAGCCCATCAGCCAACGCATCATTTCTGACCTTTAAAATACTTGCAGAATCCAACCATTTCTCAACATTTCCACTTGCTACTACCCCGGCCCAAACTACCAAAATGTCTTGCCTGGTCTCCTTGACTCCCTTACATTTATTGGCTACATGTTAGCCAAAATGATCCTGCTCAAACTTAAGTGGGATGATTTCATTCTTCTGATCAAAACCCTCCATTGCCTCCCATGGCACTTTGGGAAAGAGCTTCACATGATCTGGCCACTCTACTGCCCCTTTAACCTTCTTCCTACCCCACTCCCACCCCCACCCCAGCTTACTCTCCTCAAGCCACACAGATGCCTTCTCTTCAAACAAGCCAGGCATTCCTCGCTCTCAGGGACTTTGCTCTCACTATATTCTTGGCCTGGACTTCCCATTCCTCAGCTATCTGAATATCTGGCTTCCTTGCCTCCTGCAAGTTCTTGTTCAAATGTCGCCCTCTTGTCCACCTCCCCTGAGAGGCCTGTGAAAGGCTGCCACCTTCCCTCCCCTTTGCTGCCCTTCTCCAGCACTCCTCTGTCCCCTTCGCTGTCTTAATTAGCCCCATGGCCCTTAACACTTTCTGACGCACAGGGGACTTATTGATCTGCTTGCCCATCTCCTCCCACTAAAAGGTAAGCACCATCAGAGCAGGGGCTGTGCCGCCCTCCCTGCTGTGTTCCTAGCCATGAAAACAGCTTACAGTGAACGATCAATAAATGATTATGGGTCAAGTGGATTTTCTCGGGAGAAAACAGCCTTTAAATGCTTATAAAGGCCGAGACCGGTTTGGCTCAATAGATAGAGCATCGGCTTGGGGACTGAAGGGTCCCGGGTTCGATTCCGGTCAAGGGCATGTACCTTGGTTGCGGGCATATCCCCAGTAGGGGGTGTGCAAGAGGCAGCTGATCAATGACTCTCTCTCACGGATGTTTCTAACTCTCTATCTCTCTCCCTTCCTCTCTGTACAAAATCAATAAAGAGGACCGCCCACTGTGTGAGCACATGCTAGCAGTCCTGCTTGTACTTACTGGGAAAAGAGACACAAGACGATGGGTGAGGTGGGAGGAGAGATCCATGCATGATGACAAAGGGCAAAGTTCTCAGAGAACTTTATGAGACAAACAGATGAGAGTAAATAAATATGAGAACCATAAAAAATAAAGCATCCAGGATGGTTTTATCCAAAGGGCCAGGGCAGGGATAGCCTCGAAAGAAAGACCATGTAAAACAGTCCAGAGAAAACAGCAAGGGAGCAGCTGGGATGCCTTCCCCAGAACCCAGCAATCCGCCACCTCAGTACAAGCCCCAGATCAAATATGGGGTTAACTTGGGCTCAAACTTCTCCAAAAATCAAAAGTGGGGGCTAAAGGAAATCACATAATATGCAACTGGAGAATAAAGATGTTGTGAACTAGCCATAATCCCAACATTCCAGGCCTCGCTGTTGGGGAGTGTTTGGACTAAAGGCACGGGTGACAGTTCAAGGTCATTTTCACCTGAACTGCACAGCTCAGCACTGTCCGAGAGAAATGTAACACATCCATAATGTGAGCATATGTGTTATTTAAACATCTTAGTGGCCACATTTTTTTTAAAGTAAAAAAAAAAAAACAGGTGAAATTGGTTTTAACATATCTTAACACAATATATTAAACACTTTATCATTTTAATATGGAATCTATATGAAACTATTCAAGAGCTATTTTACATTGTATTTTTTTGTACTAAGCTTTCAAAAAATCTTTTATGCACTTTCTACTTACTGGCCTCAGTTTGGACTAGCTAGATTTCAAGTGCTTATGAGCTATCTATGGCGAGTGGCTGCTGCACTGCCCAGTAGAGCTATAAGCAGTTTCATGTGTGGGCTGAGATCTGTATATCATTTACATTTTAAAGAAGGTTCACATATTCGGGACATAATTAAAAAAAAAAATCTTCTTATTTTTAATAACATTTATTCATGCAATGAACTTCCTATAAGTGCTAAATCCTAGAGAGCCAAGTAGGAAAAGGATAACACGGATGTGGCAAAGACAGGCTGGGACTGCCGAAGCTGGTTTGGCTCAGTGGATAGAGTGTCGGTCTGCGGACTGAAAGGTCCCAGGTTCATTTCTGGTCAAGGGCATGTATGTTGGTTGTGGGCACATCCCCAGTAGGGGGTGTGCAAGAGGCAGTTGGTCGATGTTTCTCTCTCATCGATATTTCTAGCTCTCTATCCCTCTCCCTTCCTCTCTGTAAAAAATCAATAAAATAAATTAAAAAAAAGAAAGGCTGGGACTTTGGGGTACCATGGTGGATACAGAACTACACCCTCCTTTCAACTTTGGGCACAGCAGTAAAAAGACAAGTTAGATTCTATCTTCCTGATGACAGAGAACTGCACTGCCTTCTCCCCAGCGCACGGTGCTAAGGATTTCACGGTGGATATGAACGCAGTACGTGTTTGTTCTGTAGCAAAACAGATATAAAGAAGGAGAAAGATAAACTTACTTAAATCTGTAGCTTTCTCGCTTATTATTCACAAATCCATCTGCCAAATCACGAGGCAAGATAATTTCCAAGCTTGGTGCTACTTTTTCGTCTTCATCTATGGAATAAATCTGCCAACATGAAGACAGCAAATGCATATAAAATGGTAAATTTCAGGCCTGAACCATGACCATATTATTATGCTATGCACTGTAACCTTATAAAAAATACACTTTTAAGATAAAAAATCAAAACATAGTACAATTTGGATAATTTTCCTCTTTGAACTGTGCGCAGCTTCAAACAAATGTATGAAATTGAACAGGAGGTAAAACCTAAATCAATGCTCTGTCAAAGCTCAGATCCTCTTTGACTAATCTAATATTCAAATGTGAACATTTGAGTACCTCTGTTGTTGAGAAACCAATAACCCCAAAAACAACATTTTATCTAAAGATTGCTTTAGAATTATGGACCAGAAATTAGCACTTTATTACAAGCAACAGCATCTCTGAGCATTTACAAAATGCTAGACAAGAACAACAAAGGACTAGGTCTGAGACTTCTCAGAGAGCTCAAAAGAACGCTCTCCTTCAAGTTGTGTTCAAAGAAGCCCAAGCTTTCAAGACACACATTCAGGCATTTCATAAAAGATACGTGGTTTCAAAAGACATGGATATTTCATGTCTTTGATGTCATTTTCAAGGCTGTACTTCCAGCTCAGCCACTAATTAGCAAATGGCCTGGGAAAAAATCACTTCCCCACTCTAAGCTGATATGGAATGAAGGGTCTTAATCAACCCCCTTTCAACTTAATAGTCTCTGTATTCTTGGTTACCTACTCCTTTATGTATTGGCCAGAAAATATCAAAGGTCAAGCTTATAAAAAGGTCATGTGGAATAAAGAAACGCCTATGATTTTGTGTCCAAAGACCTGGCCCAACACTAATCTCAGGTTACCAGATGTGTGACCAGCCACCACGTGGCTGTATGAGAATCCTGGTTCCTTAGACCTAAGATGAGGAAAGCAGATTTGCCTCCCTTACAAGGTTGCTGCAGGGATCAAATGACATCACGGAAAGGAAGCATTTTGTAATGCACCATAAAAAATGTTAGTCTTTAGATTTAGAGGTTTTTAAGAAAGGCTTCTTGTCTTTTACCAGGAAATAAAATTATTCCTAACAGGCAATACTTCCTGTTTAAGACCCATTAGATGCTTGGTTATGGGGGAAAGTCCTATTCCTAAGCAAATAAAAGCCCACCTAAACCTCCAGGAAACCTGACTAATTTTCCTGAGCAGACTTCTAGTGAACATTCTCATTAAAAATGTGAAGAATCTAGGTAAAATGACATTATTTGTAGAAAATAATGGCATCAAGTCCACGGCTTTCTGGCTAGGTTTTCTCAAGAGACATTTAAAAATTATATTGTGTAGGTCACTACATTAAAAAATAATAATAATAATGCCCAGACAGGTGAGGGATTATAAGGGATTATAAGACGTGAAACATACAGGAGTGAGGGCTGCCATGCATTAAGACAAACAAACAAAACAAAGCAACAACGATAAAAACCCTCTAGCATTCAGCATTCAGAAGATAAGAAGGAACAGCTACTAGCATAGGATAGTGACCCACTACCATCATTAAGTCATTCCTTGGAGCATTATGAAAATCCCCATAGACCCAGAAAACATGTTTTGTCCAATAGATTGATTTTTGATCCTTAGTCACAAAAGGATTTGAGATAGAGTAGTTCTTTAAGAATAGCAGATAATTAGATCTAATGAAAAGATAGAATATCAAAATATTTCAAAATACACAAAGCAGTCTACAAATGAAAAGGCACTGCCATCATCAGAGGTTCATCTTAGGTATTTTTTGATTTATTAGCCTATAAATTACAGTAGTGCTTTAAGAAATGAGATTAATGAAGCAGTGGAACCATAAAATGAAGAGGGGGAAAAATAACAAAACACTTTGAGTCACTCTTGGTTTAAAGCTACAAGCAGTATTTTCAGTTTGAGAAACAACCATGTAATCTTTTGGGGGCAAAAAAGATAGGATGCAAACAGTGGGATTTCTAAGGGAGAGCAGGGATACACTAACTCAAAATTTGTTCATCTGTGCTCTCTCGGTTTTGTATATTGGCATAATGTTGCATCTCGGTAAGAAACCTGACTTTATGAAAATACGGTATGACACCTCAAAACACTTCTTGAAGTACCAATACACAGCATCCCACAAAAGAAATGCAAAAGAAGGCACATTAAGATACCCAAACATTGCACTTTAAAAAACGAGGAAGTTCAATATTAAATCCAAGATTCTCCATCAACCCATCCACAATTCTGCCTCTGTCCTCTCACATCACCATATCTAAGCACCTGCTTCTGACTGCAAAGTCTATGAGGACAAGTTCAGCATTTTTACTAAAAACCTACGGGGAGAGGGGGAGGCTGGCATTATATACACTTTTTACATATGATGCACTTTTTACAACCTTCTGGTAAAGGAATGTAAAAAGAAAGAAATTTGGAAGAAACTCATATCAACTTTCTATACTGCCTTATTGTTTTTTAAAAAGCCAATCTTTCCTTTGGAGTATTCTCATGCATCTTTTCAAGGCATTTCACCAGTAAAAAAAAGAGTGATGACAAAGCCACTCTATCCTCCTTGTTTGAGGAGAACACATAAATGCACAAAGTACACACGGTAAATGCGAAGCTATGAGATGCCGTAATGTTACATTTATACATGTGCCCTGTGTAGAAATATAGATATGGGCCAGAGATAAAACGTTAGTAATATACCCATTCCAGGCACTGATTAATAAGACTAAGGTTGCCCTGGCCTAATCCCCGCTTTGTGAGGCAAAAAGGTTTTGCCTGAAGAGCCAAGAGCTTTGGAATGATAATAATTTTAAAAATCCTACGTTAAAATCAGGGCTCTGCCACTCGAGAGGTGGGTAGCTGGGGCACATTACTCATCCTGAGACTCAGTTTCCTCATCTGTAAAATGAGGAAAATGGCATTAACTTCGCAGGGTTTTCATGAGAACCAGAGATAAGGCAGACAAAGCACATCAGTAAGAATGGCTATGCCCCTTTCCAAGGAGAGAAGACCAAACATTTAAGAAGCATTCAAAGTTTCTCTACTCAGAGCAAGAGCAATGTTTTAACTTTCTCTGTACCCAACACTAGAGGAAGCACGTAGGAAGTGCTCAGCTCATGTTTTCTGAACACCAGTGAAGATTATATGAGCATTCTTTGTGTCAGGAGGCATAAATATCTATTTACACATGCACTAAGCTCATGTTTCTGCTGCAGAATGAAAATACAGTCAACAAATTCTAAGGGCCTACTGTGTGCAGAGCCTCTGTGTATATCTCTATTTGAATCTATTATCTGCAACATCTCAGCCATGTATGGACACCTATCTCCTGCATGCCTTGCCTGAGGGCGGGACACAAGTTTTAGTACATGTGTGTGTATGCAGAGATGCGTGACTATGTCCTAGGAAGGGGCAATAATGCCTAGTTGAGGTGCAGCCCACGTGAATTTACAAACACACATCAGAGTATGCATTTGCCCCCGGGTGAACAGGTGTGCCGGGTGTATGTATGTGCTCTATGGAGCCTGTGTCTGTGCTCACAGGGCTGTGCTGGGTGGGAGTGCCCTGGTGTCTGTCTGTCCCAGTCCTGCCAGCCAGGCTCCTCAGACAGAGCATGCAGGATTCCCTCAGACACCCTGAGCCCTATGCCAGCCCCTCCCCCTGGCCCAGGTCCCATGCATGCCGCCTCTCCCCTGGCCAGGGAGGCCCGCAGTGGCCGGCATCCTCGCTGCTCCGACCCGTACCCCTTGCGGCTGCTTCCGGACAGTGGGCTTCACCCTGGCGAAAATCTGGATCGTCTGCTTCACCATCTCCTCCTCTGGCCCTGGACTGACTCTTGACCTCAGGCCCAGGCTCTCCAAACTTCTGATTCCCACCGCCTCCAGCGAGCCGCAGCCTTAGCAACAGTAACTAGGGACACTACCCAAGGAGCAATGCGCCAACCGGGACCGCCTCTCCTCGCTAATTGGTTGCTAACGGAGTGCCCCGCCCCCACCCCCCAGGGAAACACTGAGGGGCGGGGTTGAGGAGAGCTGAGCTGAGCGGAGAGTGCTCCGCATGTGAAGGGGGGGCTGGGCTACAAGTTTAGCTCCAGATGGAGAGTGGTTAATGGGGTGACAACCAACATGCCTTCCCTGTCCCTTAATCCATTCTTCCCTTCTTTAGCACTGAGGCCATTCTGTTTTTTATTATTCATTCATGGAATAAATGGCACTTGATCTGTGACAGCAATGTGTTGGCTGGGGATCCTGAGCTGCGCAGAACTGCCTCTGCCCTCTGGCAGATTAGATCTGATGAGGGATGCAGATTTCCATTAGGAAATTAGAAAGGATGTCGGGGTAAGCAAGGGACTCCGTGAACGTACCTCATCGAGCTCTGTTTCAGAAGAAGGAAGACTGGAGAAAGGGGGACCGTTTCCCACGCAGTGGTCATATCAGGGAAGAATGGGCTCCTTTGCGCAGTGTTGGTGGGGATGTAAATTAATGCAGCCACTGTGAAAAAGAGCAGGGAAGTTCCTAAAAAAAACAACAACAAAAAACTGAAAATAGAATTGCAATCGCACTCACTCTTGGGTATATGTCCAAAGATGAAATCAGATGCCTAAGAGATACCAGTATCTGCACTCCCATATTTATTGCAACACTAGCCCAGATATAGTGTCCACTGATAGATGAGTGGGCAAAGAAAATGTGATATACATAATGACATATTTTTATATTATGCCTTATATCTACAACACAGTCATATATATATATATGGTTGCCAGATTTTTATGACCATCCCATCAGTACTTCATTGGGTCACCTTTTGCCTTCAGTACTGCAGTGATTTTTTTAAATGTATTTTATTGATTTTTTTTATAGAGAGGAAGGAAGAGGGATAGAGAGTTAGAAACATCAATGAGAGAAACACATCAATTAGCTGCCTCTTGCACACCTTCTACTGGGGATGTGACCACAGCCAAGGTACTTGCCCTTGACTGGAATCGAACCTGGGACCTTTCAGTTCGTAGGCCGATTCTCTATCCACTGAGCCAAACCGATTCTTCTTGGCATTGACTCCATGAGATGTTGAAAGGTGATGTGAGGAATCTGACACCATGCCTGAAGAATAGCCTGTCCAGTTCTGTGAGATGTGATGGTTGTGGAACCAGCTGCCTGATGGCTCTTTTAACTTCATCCCACAAATGCTCAATTGGATTGAGATCTGGTGATTTTGAGGCCACCTAAGCAAGGTAAAGTCTCCCTCATGTTCTTGAAACCACTCCTGCACAATACAAGCACCATGGCATGGCACATTTTCTTGTTGGAAGAAGCCATCTCCATTGGAATATGCCGTCAATGTGATAGGATGAACTTGATGAGCAATGATACTTAAGTATGTTGTGCTACTTAGACGTTGTTCCACATGAATTAAAGGGCCCAAATCATGCCAAGAAAACATGCCCCAAACCATAACACTGCCCCCACCAGCTTGAAGGGTTGTACTCATGAATGTGGGGTGCATGCTTTCATGCTGTTTCCATGAAATTCTCACTGCCATATGCATCATGCAACTGAAAACGTGATTCACTGGACCACATGACAGTTTTCCAATGCTCAACTGTCTGATTCTTGTGTTCCTGTGCGAATTGAAGAAGTTTTATTTTGGTAACTGCAGACAGCAAAGGTGTTCAAACAGGCCTTCGACTTCCATATTCCATAGGATGCAGTGTATGGCTAATTTGCCTACAAATCTCAGGTGGTCATAATAATCTGGCTACTCATTGTGTGTGTGTATATATATATATCATGTAGAGCTAGAACAGATGATATTGAGTGTACTACTGATAAGATGGTCCCAGTACTGCATATTAAATATAAGTGGAACTGATTTTCATATCCATGCAAGACAGAAATTGCGTTATTTGCATAAAAACTATCATGCTCACACTAAAATGACATCCCATGGACATTAGAAAATGTTAAATGTAGTTAAATGTGAGATGGAATATTATTCTGTCATAAAAAAGAAGAGCCTGCCATTTGGCACTAACATGAATGAAGTTGGAGGCTTTATGCTAAGTGAAGAAGGGATAGAAATAAAGACTGTATGATTTTACTTACATGTAGAATTTGAAAGAGTGGAACTCATAGAAACAGACAGTAGAATGGTGGTTGTCAGGGAATGAGTGGGGGAAATGGGGAGCTATTGCTCAAATGGCACAAGCTTTCAGTTATTATAGAAGAGGAATAAGTGCTGGGGATCTAATTTACAACATGGTGATGATAGTTGACAATATTGTATTACATAGTTGGAAGTTGCTAAACGACTGAATCTTAAATGTTCTCATCACACAGAGAAAGTTAATTATGTGAGGTGATGGAGGTGTTAACTAACCTAGTTGTGATCATCATTTTGCAATATACATGTGTATCAAATTATCACTTTGTACATCTTAAACTTATATGTCAGTTATATCTCAATAAAGCTGGGATAAATAAATAAAAGGATGAGCACCTCAAAAGACACTGCTAACACATGAAGAGATAGTCAGCATCATTATCCACCAGGGAAATACACATTAAAACCACACTGAGATATCACATACACTATCAGGATTAAAAAAAAAAAAAATAGCAACAAAACCAGAGCTGACATGGATACAGAGAAACTGAGCCATTCACACTTTACCGGTGGTGTAAAATGTGTCATGAATGATATGGGTACTCTAAAAAAACAGTTTTGTTGTTTTATACAACACTAGAGATGCACGTACAATAAGATCCAGCAATTATGTTCATGGGTGTTTATATCACAGAAACGAAAATTTTTGTTCACACAAAAACCTGTGCATGAGTGTTCATAGCAGCTTCATTCATAATAGCTCCAAACTAGACAGAATCCAGATGTCCTTCAACCAAAGAATACTTGAATAGGTGATGGAATACTATTCAGCAATAAAAATGAAGGGACTACTGATACATAGAGCAATGTAGGTGAATTCTCAGAGACTTATGCTGTATGATTCCATTTTTATAACATTCTTGAAATTACAAAATTATAGAGATGAAGAGCTCATTAGTAGTTGCCAAGGGGTAGGCAGGCAGGGAGGGGGTGAAGTAACTATGGCTATAAAAGGATCCTTGTGATGGACTATTGTGTATCTTGACTGTGATAGTGGTCATAGATATCTACTCATGTGATAGAATCACATAGGACACACACACACACACACACACACACACACACGCGCGTAGTGCATATAAAACTGGTGAAACGTGACTAAGGTTGAATGAGATGGATAAATGGCATCCATGTCCACTCCACTGACCTGTACTGTAGGTAGGCAAGATGCGACCATTGGGGGACCTTGCGGAAGTGGAGGTAAGATCTCTCTGTGTTATTTTCTAATACTGCATGTGAGTCTATAATTATTTCAAAAGAAAATATTTTTTTAAAAAGAAACTCTTAGAGAATGAAAAGACCAGCCACAAACTGGGAGAACACTTTGGCAAAACACCTATCTGATAAAGAGCTCGCATCCAGAATACCTAAAAACTCTTAAAACTCGATAATAAATAGGAGAGCAAACTACCTAAGTAATTTAAAAAAAAAAAAAAGTGAGCAAGGATTTGAACAGATAATTCCCATAATATAGATGGCAAATAAGCCTGGGAAAAGATATTTAATGTAATGAGCCATTAATTAAATGCAAATTAAAACCACAGTAAGACACTATAACACCCCTCTTAGAATAGCTACAAATAAGGAAAGAAAACTGGTAATATGGATGCCAGCATGTAGAACTCTCAGACAAGGCTGGGAGACAGCAAGAGGGACCAGTCACTTTGAAAAAGTTTCATAGTTTCTGACATGGAGAATCACACATATACTTACTATTAAACCCGCATCCCCACTCTTAGGTGTTTACCCAAGTTAAAAGAAATGTAAACAGGGACTATTGTGGTTTTATTCACAATTGCCCCAAACTGGAAATAAAGTAAATGCTCTTCAGTGGGTGAATGGATAAACAAACTGGTCTGTCCACACAATGAGAAGGAATGAACTGTTAATGCCTGTAACAACATAGTTGAATGTCAAATTTATCATGCTAAGTGAAATTTACACATAGTATAATCCATTTGTATGACATTCTAGAAAAGAAAAAACTATAGGGCAAGAAAACAGATCAGTAGTTACCAGGGGTTGGGGTATGGAGAGGTGTTGACTACAAATGGGCATGGCAGAGGATGTTTTGTGTTTTTGTTTTTGTGGTTTTATTTTGGGGGGGGGAGCCGATGGAGCTGTTTCATATTTTGATTGTAATTGTGGTTACATGACTAGATACATTTGTCAAAACTCAAAGAACTATTGATATACTGAAAGAGGGGAATTATACTGTATATACCCTGTTTTCCCGAAAATAAGACAGTGTCTTATATTAATTTTTTCTCCCAAAGTTGTGCTAGGTCTTATTTTTAGGGGATGTCTTATTTTCGGGGAAACACGGGTACATTGCACTATTATCAAAAGGGTAAAAAAGAGGATGGGGTATGAACAGGCATGGCATAGCAGGGACTGAGAGCAGGAGGGCCAGATGTTTGTGGGATAGACTTGGAGGCTTTTTCATTTGCTGCTGGGTGGTGAGGAAGGAAAGACTCAGGATTGCATAGCTGGGTCATGGCCATACCTTGGCTGCTGTGACTACTGCTGCAATGGACATGGGAGTGCAGGCGTCTCTCCTCCGTACTGATTCTGATTCCTTCAGAAGTGAGACAACATGAGTGTCTGTATTCACAGAATGGAATATAATTCCCATTAAAAATGGGGAATTCTGCAATTCAAGATGACACTGATGAAACTATAGGGCATTATGCTGAGTGAAAATAAGCCAGAAAACT